TCTCATAATGAATAACTTTTTCCTAATATCTAATCTAAACAGATCTCCTGTCAGTTTAAAGCCATTTCACCTTGCCCTATTGTTATCTGCCCTCATAAAAGTATCTCCATAAAGCAAGAGCATTGCACAGGCCATGCTTTATGCTCCCAGGGTCTGAGAGTTGAAACCTGGGAGAGATGAGCTTCCCCTGGCACTCCTTTCAGTACATATGCTGACTAGTACAGATGGATTTTGGATAAAGCATGTACACATCACTCTCATCCTGTTCAGGTGCAAAGGTATAAGTTTTCCCCATGATACAACAGTAAATGACTGGAAAAGAAGAAAGAAACAAATTCTAATGCCAATAAAACAGGAAGTTTTTCAGGAAATTTGCCATGGAGATAATAATGTGAGCATATCCAGTGCTTTAAACTGTCTCAAACGGCTTGAAATCTCAGGCTTAGGCACTTTGACAGGCTTCCTTTAAAGTCTTTGACAGTGGATTTGAATGCATTGACTATGTCACTCAGATTTTGTCAGATAGATCCCACAGCAGCAGCCAAGGGAGACACTGTTCTCGGCCCAGAGAAGCGGGATTTCAGAAATGTTTTCCTCATTGATAGCAGGGGCAGAGGGCATTGTCAGGCAGGGTCAGCCCAAGACCATTTTCATAGAAGCCTTCTGTGAAGCAGTGACTGTCAATGACAACACATTCACCATCTGTGGAAATACGGATTTTCACCTGCAACACACTTCAGAAGCAGTGTCTGAACAACCTGACTTGAGAAATACATTTGCTTGACTGCCCATTCCAATTCCCAGAGGAGTCTGTTCTCTGGAGTCCCAGCTGTACAGTGACTCACTTTTAACTGGTTTTCATTTGGATGTTGCAGGGAAGAGAGGAAAACCCAGTATGATAGGGATACAATATATAGGCTGAGCAAGAAATATCTGTGTTTGCTGAAGAGGTGTGTTATTTCAGGATATTTTCATCTAGTCTGATAAAAATGGCATTTCTATAGAAACAACTGATGAAAGAAACAATAAAGAGGAAATCCCATGCTAACTGTCAAAAGACAACATAATGCTTGGCAGATGCATTACTAGGGATGAGTAAATGCATCTCTGCATTTACTCATCCCTAGTAATCCCTAGTAAAACTCTGCAGTTTTGGGTTTTTAAAATACTTTAAAATACAATCCTTTCCTCTCACATGGTTAAATCACTTCACATTGAGTATGCATGTGTGGTTTTTATTGGTGAAAAAGCAGAGACTTGATTTAAAACATCCCTGTTTCACCTAGTCCCAGGGATGCCCTTTACTCAGTGGCGTGTTGCTGTCATGGAATGCCAGGTTCCACCCCAAAAGTACATCAGCTTTAAAAAAAGCTAACAAAAGTAAGATTTATATCTTGGACTGATACTTATGATAACTTGTTTTCCATTCATCAGCAGACCTGCATGCTGCCCACCACACTGCTCTCCAGCTGCTCTGTTCTCAACTTCAGTTTCTGTCTTCTCAGCAGAAGAATCATCTGCTTCCATGGTCATCTTCTCTTAAAAAGCTCATCTTAATATTTGTCATCTCTGCAACATAGATAATACTGCTACATTTGCAGGCTTACCTTTCTAATCCCACCGAAGGCAGTGCCATATTGTTTTTGTAGCTCTGATCCCTTCCCTGTTATCATCCAATGAGAAAGCATTCAGCTGTAGGCACTCCTGCCTCTCTTTGCTCGGGAAGACCAAAACCATGTTTTAGAAAGTCACATGAAACTGACTTGTGGCAAGGTATAAGAAGGGATGAGAGAGATTTACAGGGCTTGTGAGAAGGCGGACAATCTTTCAAAATCTTATAAAATAGCTCTCACTGAGTGAGGAATATTTGAGTTCACCACCAAAGACTCCAAGAATGCACTGCTGGGAATTCCGTTGCTAGAATTGCTTAGCAAATCCATGCAAGCATGTTGGTACTTATAATTTTATAAGATAAATATGAAGACACACAAGCATGATTTATTGATAGAGCAGAAGCTATATATAGTGCCCTTAACTGTATTATTAAAACTGAAGGTAAATAATTGATGGAATGAAGGAAAGATACATACAACTCTGGCAGCTCTGATGGGAAGCATTCCTGCCTTGCAGTAATTAAAATCAAATCTATTCTATTTGTCTATATGTCTATATGTCTTTCTGGCAGAAAAGATTGTTTCCTCATTTCACCTGCCTGCTAAGAGACACTGTGTGTGTGGCCACAGAAGCTGAGCAGCCAGTGTGAGAGGAGTCAGGGAGGGAAAATGCTCATGGCTGTCTTGAGCCAGAACCATAAGCAGCTGTCAGACAGTCTAAGCAGCCCCAATGCTTCACCCAAACACATTCCAAGGCAAGCAGTGCCACGGCCTCCCTGCCTTACTGTGCAGCTGGGAAAACTGAACTGGGTCCATGGGGTGCATGGGAAACCATTCCCAAGTTCCAAGGAAAGCCTTGAAGGGGCAGAGAGAAATCTTCTGCTGGCACCACTGCACTGCCCCAGCCCTCTGTAAACCCAGTGGTGCTCTGATGCCTGGCCTGAAGATGAGTAGTGCAAAACCTTTGTTTTCTCATTTTGCTTCAGAGGCACAATCTGTTGATTTCAATAGATTTTGAACCTGACCTTCACTGCCCCAGAAGCAATGATTACAAATGGCAGCTAGGAGCCAAAGGACACCTTGAACTCCTCACTTCGATCAGCCAGACCTGTGGTAGCAACAGCCAGACCTGTAGTCCTGGAGCCATCAGGATGGTGGGTGGCTCCACAGCAAAAGGATGAGAAGCTGCTGCTCTTGAAGTTTAACTGCAAGAAACCTGCACAATTATTTCAAAGTGTTTCTTGCATCCCAAATCAGCACAAATTGGGAACAACAATATTAAGTGGCAGATGGTGGTGGTAGGGTAGCAGTTATTTTCAGTGAAACAGAGCATTTGACACTCCCTTCCTCAGCAGGCACTGCTATTCCTGAACTAGGTTTGACTTTAATATGATTTCTTTTGCTTCAGGGAGCACAAAGCAGAGCTCCCCCAGCTGATGAACTGCGGTCTGGCAGGACAGCACTACAGGAGCACTCCAAACATTCTCGAGGCTCCCTTCTGCAAATCTCCAAAATGTAATTAAGAACAGGTCTATTTTTTCCTCCTGCTAGAAGCATCTATAAGCACACCAGATGTAACAGCACTAACTGCTTAAACATCTCTGCCAGAATCATATGTCTGATCATACAGTTAGAATCACAGTCACTCTTAGTTATGTACTGCTCCTAAAGGGACATCTTCAAGTTGATTCCTACTTCAAGGAGAGCTCAATGACCTAAAATAGTGCAGTGGTCAACTTTACCATGTCAGGAACATGGTTGCTCATCAGAAGACATGAAGCTGAGGGAGATGTTTGCTGTCTAGCATTAAAAAAAATTTGTAATTTTCATTCCAATTTTTCATGAGTTAATCACAGTCTGGTTTCCCTGACATTATGGTTAAGGCTGGCTGTCTGCTGACAGAATGAAGGATTACCTTTGTTTCCATAGATATAAGTGCTTTCAGTGACTGTATTGGATAAAACTTGTTCCTGATTGTAATTTTGCTTTAGTATCGCAGATTTGTGAAGGGATAAAACCCATGACTGATTATTTGTAATACGTGCCAAGCTTTATAAGAAACTATGAGAGAGCTGTTGGAACTTGCAGGAGTTTTGATTTTAATGCTGGTTATTGATTTTAGTGCTTGGTCAACTTTCAGCCTTTTCACCTGGGAAGGGCATTCTCTGAGCACGAGAACGGGCACAGATCCTCACTGGGGCCTGGGCTGGAGCAGGTGGGCTCACTGTTTGGGAAGGACTCACTGCCATAAGAAATGAAGCACTGAGGGTCACGAATCATGAATTACAGCCATGTTCACAGAGCTTTATGCATCTACTCTCCCAAAACAC